TTATTGGATAAGAAGGAAAAGTACAAATGTGGAAATGCAAAGGTAGTAGGTGTGCATCATGGATGTGGACAATCTCATCTTTTACCACACCAGCAAGTGAGGATATACTATACCAGTAGTATGTCCAGTACTACATCCCCATTTCTTCTGGCTAGTATGCAAGTGCAGATGATGGAAGAAAATGCATGAACATGTTCAAACAAATGCTCACTAAGTTTGGAAAGTGGATATGGCCTCTGCTAGTCCCATGTTGAAGAATAGCAAACAAAATTTTCTTGCACTGGTCATTCGTCCCCATAACAGGAATATTCTTGGTATGCTATTGTTTGAGAATATCTTTTTTTGTCAAATAGAAGGGATAACTCCCAACTACAGCAAACATCTATTTTTCATAGTAATCTGGTATAAGTCCTTGTTTCTTGGTGGTTGCTTGGCTACAATTTTCCTCTCCCAAGTTGCTGGCAGAGTTKYATGTACTCTAAACCACTTTACGCAACARCATCAAATAATTACCCGGACGAGGCCACAAACTGGGGCTAGTTGTGGATAATGAATGGGAATTTCGGAAGAATGATAGATGCCAGCTMAAAAAGAACACGAACACAGTCAACTCGCGATTGCACAATACTCGAAACGACATCATTGACGTTGTCGTTGTTGTGCTCAATGCCCACTTCTTTTTCTACGCCAATAAGTAGTCCGTAGACATAACTTACAGTACAATTTTGACTTATAATGATGTATTATTTCCAAATTAAAAAGCGTCCTTCTTCTCTTTGTGCTCCTGCTTTTTTCATCGACAACGTGCTCCAAACTCAACACCCAAAACAACAGATGACGGTCGGACGAGAGCTTCGRCTGCGTATTGTATTTCTCTCTTTTAATTATTAGTATACTTTACTTCTTTCAAAATGTAATGTATGGACTGTCAGATGATTCGTCGCATCGTGTCGTTGGGTATAAAAAGTTCGTTTAGCAGCATCCCGAGTTGTTCTTGATCTTCTCTCCAGTGAGGGGAAGGGATTTTCCTCCCTGTGCGGCTGTGGGTTGGGTCTTCATTCGTGCCTTGATCTGGCTAGCCATAGTCAAGAAGGCTTGTTCGACGTTGGTGGAAGTCTTGGCAGAAGTCTCAAGGAATTCAATKCCGAGTGAGTCGGCGAATTCCTTGCCCTGCTCCGTCGAAACGACGCGCTTGCCCGTCAAATCGGACTTATTACCCACTAGGAGCTTATTCACATTCTCGGCAGCATATCGATCAATCTCGTGCAACCACTGYTTCACATTGTTGAAGGATTCTTGATCGGTCACATCGTAAACGACAATAATTCCGTGCGCACCTCGGTAGTAGGAAGATGTAATCGTACGGAAGCGCTCTTGTCCGGCAGTGTCCCAAATCTGAAGCTTAATCGTCTTGCCGTCAAGTTCGATGGTTCGGATTTTGAAATCGACACCGATAGTGGAAATGTATGATTCAGTGTAGGTATCATCTGCAAATCGAAGAAGCAAACACGATTTACCMACACCGGAGTCTCCAATGAGTAGAAGTTTGAACAAATAGTCGCTATYGATGAAAATAAATTCCGAAATAGATGAAATTAAGCGCAGGAGGAAAGAAAAGCGTAAGAGTGTGGTGTCAAACATAAACGAGAAGTTCGATTCGGAGCAGACGGAGGAAAAGAAAGACGGCCGAAATTCGGACGATGTCCTTGACRACAAAGGAAATGACCTCTTCGTTCGGAAGGTGAAAACAGTAATTCAGTTTAAGATTAATTAAGGCCAAAGAATCATTGAATTCGCCAAGCAGTAAAGTGCAKTGTGTTTGCTRTGTTGGGCGTCTRCASTTCCTGCAATGCAAGCCAAAGCAGACGTCCCGCATCCATTTTTTTCGTTTCAGWCGTTTTTTTCGAGCTTTACAGGCGTGAATCGCGCATGAGAACCCTGTGACCGTTTGTATCGTTCTGTTCTTTTTCTGGAATTCCGTTCTTTTGCTGAGAGCATCGTCGTCGAGMTATTGCAAGGTATTGTCCTCGCTMCTATTGTGTATACTTACTATTCTGGATTCATTGTTGTATATTGTTGATTTTTCTAGTTGTCGTTTGGTTGTAAAGTCTAGCCAAATAATGTGTTGACAGTGTCGTGTTTTGATAATTTGAACCGGAGTAGTTAGTAAAACCGCGCTGTTTTGCTGCTATGAAATTGAACATTGTTTGAAATGACGAGGTGGCATGCCCGCGGAAGTGCTCGAAGGAGTTCGAAAGACCCTTCGAACCGTTGGATGTGTCSTGAAACCTGWCTTCTTGGTTCATTTTTTTCATTCGTGGAGTTTCAGTCGTTGAAAATTAAAATCTGTTTCGACGTGAATCTTGCTGTTTTCCGAATTTTTTCGAAAGTAAAGGGGTAGAATTTAATCAGATCCTCCTTTTGACTGACTTCTCCCCTTCTAGAAATTTTGGCCTGCTTTATTGCACTCGAAAGGACGAGTACCAGGTACTGTACCGTACCGTACCGTACGTACGTACCGATGCGGTCCTCTACGCTCAAGTAACTGTAGTACGAGTCCATACAGTATGGTACAGGGTTAACGTATCACTTCGTTCAGTACTGGTACCCGTACTTCGTACCGTACGACGTCGGTATGATTCTCGATTCTCGTACGGTATTACATCTTCGTCGTCGAATGTTGAAGCGTACTAATGTACACGGTACGTACAGCGGAAGTGACCTCCTGCCKTAGTTTTCATAGCGTACGTCGTGCTCGTACGGCATGTTCATGTAGTTTAGCGAGAGTAGCCAACATCGTCAACTAACATCATCACCATCAATCAGCACTCCGTCGTATTCTATYAAAGGGTTGTAGATTCTTTCTCTTGCTATTGGTGTGTCAGACCTACTCATAAAAGAAGAAGTACGAATAATGTATTCATCTATTGTTCGAAAATCTGTTGGACGCTCCTTGCTGACGAGGGTGGTTCAACACCASCAACAGCAAACGCGCAGTGTTGTGTCTGTGAAGAAGGCTTTGGTCAAGGCCGGTGAGACGGAAGAACCCGAGGACGTTCCCGCATTGGCTAAGCGCATGGAAGCCATGTCGGAGAAGGATGGTCTCATGGTCTTTGACTCAGGAACAAACCTCCCTGATCCCGTATTGCCCGAAAACAAGGCCGAGGTCGCTGCCCTTGATGCCTCCTACAAGACCAGCGTTCGCATGCCYGATGGACGGGAACGCATGGTAGTCATCAAGCAACTGCGGGCCCGTCCCAACCAAAATCCTTTGAATCCWGAAAAGTACTGGAAAATTTCGTTTGACGACGATGGTGCCGTGGGAGAGCGATGGAAGAACTCGCTCATGAACTGGAATTCCACCGCTGATACATACGGTTGCGATCCTCCACTTTATTTCAAGAACGCTCAGGACGCTGTCTATTTTGCCGAAAAGCGCGGATGGAAGTATTTGGTACAGGAGCCAGTTGTTCGCAAGATGAGAMAYGATGACGCCCAATATCAGGACAACTTCTTGCCCCAAGCCATTGCCGGTAAGGTGAAGCGAGAGGGAATCCAGTGCGACCATTGGCAACGCAAGGCAGCGGGAGCCTCCMATTATTTCCGTCCCCTCAAGTTCCACGGCGACGGCACCGTCCGCCAACATGGAGCTAATATCAACGAGGAAACGATGCCAGCCACCGAGTCGTATTACAAGATTCGATAAACGGAGATGCAGATAYTGTCCTCAAAGCAAAGCATWCACATTTACACACATAAAATATTGGAAATAYCGTGCGTCTACGAAACATGGTTGATTTGTTGATGAACAAATAAATTGATTCATCCTTGGGAGCTTACACGGTGCGATTTTCAATGGAAAAAATGCGATAGCATAAATCTCGATGTCGCACCGATTTGTTCCAATATTTCGATTTAATTATGTTTGATGAAACAAGAACCAAATGCACTATCAACGAAGTAACAGGAGTAGCACCARCAGTTGTGATGGTATTCTACACTAATAKTATTTACGATATCGTCTAGCAATAGTATTGATGAAAATGATGCAGGTGACACTTATTCCAATGCTGATACTGCTCTTGTTCTTCAAGGGCTCTCGTCATCATTGCTGATAGTCATCGTTCGGTATTCCGGATAGGACTGGCTTGCGGGAGGATTCGAGTTTGTTGCTGTAATATATTTTTGTTGGAAAAGAATCAGTCAAGGAAAATAAGGACTGCTCGTGCGACTTCTTTCAAAATGTTGGTTTAGCTAAGGAGTTTTTCTTTCTGGCTCCTCCAGCCGAAAAGCTTCTTGTTGTTGTTACTGCCTTGATACTAGCAAGTGCTTAGCAGGAAGAATATAGTAAAAGTACCACGACTGACTGGTACTACCGCTAATAGGAGTATTGCTGGTGGTGGTGATTGATGGTGCAATATCACTCCTTCTCATGTACTTCAGTACTAGTAGTGGCGGTATTTGGCCTCTATTTCTCTTCTGGCATGATTCAAATGCGACAAAAAAGTAAGCAAGCAAATCAAGCGTCTCATCCTTTGCACGCTGCCCGTTTTCTAGTACGAGTATGTAGTGATGGTACAAAAAAGGGCACGTTGTTGTACGGATAGAAAAATTGGTTTTGTGGTACATCTAACAGCAGTATTTTTTTCCCTGCCTGCAGTACCAAA